GACACTATGCAGACCCACTGGTGAGGTACCCCCACCTGAACTCCATCTGCTAGCACCCTCATCTTGGCTTTGCAGCCTCTGGAAGCATGAGCAATAAGCTTTGTACTTTCAAACCATCCAGTTGATTGTAAGTCGTTACATCCACCTAGATAGACAAGGTACTGCGCTCCCATTCTGTAAAATGACACAGTAAGTCTGCTAAAATAGTTTAGAAGAGTAGATTCTGTGCACAGTGCTCCTACAAACTCTCAGAAAGGGCAGCTGTTATTAGGCCTATGCAATACAATTCACAGAAGAATCGCAACACAATTGCATCTGGTATCTACTTCCACACAAGCCATAAGGTAGTAAACACAAAATCATCAGGCCTTTTTGGGAATCCATACAAGAAGAACAGTGCCTACAGATCATTCCATACATATCACTCGATATACACATAGCTCTTAGGGTATCTCCATTTTCTAACACACATACACACAACTGTACTACGGGGGTATCTTATTTTTCTCAATTCTTTAACTCAGAATTCTTAAGATGAACACACTCTTCCCAAGTACTCCACCAAATGATTCGGGTCATAACATTAAAAATTACCCATAGTTTTATACTCTGGTCATTAATGTTTTTTTGTTACAAACAATTGGGCAGCAGTTATTTTTACACTTCTATCTGGGTAGACAGGAATAAAAACCATATCATAAATTATTGGAAATGCAACTGCTATACCAAAGGATTCAATTTCTAATATTGACAGCTGCTGTCAATTTTTCCAGTATGAATGTTTCAGAGGGTTTTTTCTAACCCTTTATGCCTCCCTGGCCAATTTGGAAGCATTTGTTTCACCAGAAACCAACACTCAATTCATATTCACTAATCTCACTGGTAACACTTTCAATGGCCATTACAAGTCACATATCTTTCCTATGAATTAGCCCAAGTATTTTATTAATTTTATTGAGAAAGAAATAGCAGTGACACAGTTTCAAAACAGGTTAGTAGGACAGTTACAATAATTAATACATTGCATATTGTTGTCTTCATAGTAGTTATTCATAGCACAAGATGCAGACATGATATTTTGTCTAAACACTATTAGTACAAATCTCTCTTCTCATTGAACTAAAAGAAAGTAGCTGTATATCTATCCTAACTATTTTGTATATACAGATATATATTTTTTTCACTGCAAAATAGTCCTTCATTTACATCCCTCTTTTTTGTTTACTTTTGTCAGAGATGGGTATTTCACTGCCATTCAAACATTGTAGGTGCGTGAATTCAGCAAAGTAATCCAATATAGCCCAGTAGTCCATAATAGTAGTGGGTTATCAGCAGGACTGGCAATGTCAGTTGTTGATTTGAGTCTTTTACAGCTCAGCATATTAATATGGCTTTACTTTTTATAACTCACTTTTATACTTTTCTGCTGGATGGTTAAGACCAAGATATAGCAAGACCAATACGACAAGCAATGTAACTTCTGTATTTGACAAAGTCAGTCAAATCCCCTCAGGATTTACCCTGAAACCCTGTACAGCAGTTTACAGATCTTTTGTCAGTGTCAGCCATGTGGATGAGTCACTGCCACTGCTTGACCATTTTGCTCTCTATGAAAGCCTGAGAGAATGTTTTCTCTCCATGTGACTCTCCTTAGGCACACTCTACATCATCGATTACTTTCCTAGAAGGATAGCCAACATTTTGGCCCTAGCCCTTTGAGGTCAGTGAAGACTCAGGACATAAGAGAACCTGCACTGTAACATCCTGTAACTCAGTGGTAGGCCAAGTATTTTTGGTAGGCCATTTGTATGCCTCTTTCCTATTTTACTACCAGCTTTTGGATCACTAATTCTCCCTGCAACTGGCCCCTGAAACGAGAATCCTCATTTATAAGAACAATTACCATCTCATTATTTTGACATTTGACACCACCAGCCACGCCCCACCTTCAACAGACTTCTCTCATGTACACTATTTTGGATCTGAAAACACACACACACACACACACACACACACACAGAGGCACGCAAGTGCGCAATCAATCTATCTGTCAATCTGCTGTACTGATTTTCCACCCCAGGGAACAAGCTATCCTTCCCTCTGGGATCCTGGAGGTAGATCCAATGTCTACTCCCTAACTTCTCACCTAACATTCCTCAATGTCTGTGTGCAAAAGACTTCCAAATGTCAGCCCTAGAACCATGTGAAATCTAAGCCCAAGCTTCCAACCATCTACTGAACACTTCCAGCTAAGGGATTAGTCCTCCATCTCACAACTTTCTTTTCAGTAATGTGGATTGAACACAAGGCCTAAGCTACATCCTCAGCCATTTTTATTTTATATTTGGAGACAGGGTCTCGCTAAGTCACTGAGTAGCCCAGGCTGGATTGGGTTCACATTTTTGATCCTCCAAGTGCTAGGATTAGAGGCATAGGGCACCAATGCCCAGCCTCAACACACACTTCTGATATCAAGGTCAATACAATTGCAGAATTCTCTCTGCTCTGGACATTGGACTTGTCCTTGACTCTCACTCACCTCATATGATACTTTCTATCCAAGAAAAAATTCATCAAGCTTACCATCTACTTCCCCTAACCAGTTTACCTCTCTGAGCAAGGACCAACAGTGACTGCACCCTTCCCCCTCCCTATCCATTAAACTGCCAAGGCCTGTCACGTCACTTGGGCTTCTCTAGCCCACCTTCCCATGCCAACTTGTGGCTCAGATCACTGCTTCCTAACCTCTTGCCCCAAGCCTGATGCTACCAGAGTCGTCTGGCAGGTACAGACATACTTTATTAAGCACGTAGTTGGACATTGTTGAGTCAAAGGGACAAATGGAAGATCCCCAAAGAACATGCACTGCCAGTTGAGTAAAGACACAAACACTTCTACTTATGATACATTATAATCATTTCTTAGGTCTCAGACCCAAAGTGACCCCACCGAGAACAATGATATTGTATGCATATCAATGGTACACATTCTGCACAGTCCTTCCCACACCTGGCCACATGCCATCTAATTCTAGAACAGGATACCTGCATTCCTGGCTGCCATGGCCAACAGCCTAATGATATCAGGGAAAGAAGGGTTCTTTAAAGACCCACCTACCCTGGGCTAGGATCTGGTTTAAATTAACAACTTACTTTTCTTAAATGACCTTTCATAAGTTTCTCATATTATTAAAGCCTCTGAGAAAACGTGGACCCTCCTAAAAGGACAGGAGGACATTTTGCAATTCCAAAGTAACTTCGAAGTAAAAGGTAGATATGCATCTCAATTATCCTAGTTCTAGGAACTGCAGGATAACTTCTGTGTGTGTAAAGGTGCATTCAAAATTTGCACTTCAGGTCTGCCTTCCGCCTGAAGGCAGAATGCTCAGTTTATCTACTTTACAACACAGTTGAATACCTATCCCTCGGCACAGCCTATGTGTCTTGACTGAATTTTTCAGCCAGGGCACAAAGAACAGAGGACAAGGAGGTGAGAGCCCAGTTCCCCAAACCCTCAGGACCTGGCTTCAGTGTGACACCAGTCTACCTGCTCAAAGTGCCCTGGGCCTTGTACTTGTGGCCTAGGACCCCTCGACCAACCTGGGCTCAAGACCTACACTGGAATGGCATGAACTCACAGCGCTCTTCCAAAGGCTGGGTTTTAAGAGGATCACATCAGCATAAAATGCCTCCCTCACCTGACAGTGGACTGTGAGGGGACACTTTTATACCAGATCCCACTCACTGTTCCCTCCAGACAGCACCCAGCACAATGCTTTGCCCTGCTTTCTGAAGTTATCCAGCACAATTCTGTATCACATGCTCTAATAATTCCAAAGGAAAAAACTTATACGTGTAAATTCATAATAAAAAATAATTTTTTTGAATCATCCAAACGACTGAGGTCTGTTTACCTTATATGACTAAGTATACAAATAACTTAAGAGATTAAAAAAGTCAAACTCTTTCTTCAACTCCTTTAGAAATAACCAAAAAAAAATCAAACACACTTATTTCAAAACCACTTGTTTTCAATGTTACAAATCAAAAAAAATGCCTCCCTCCCTGCCAACAGAAAAAAGATTCAGATGTGTCTTATAAAGTCCTATAAATATCCTGATTTTTATGGTCTTCAGATAGCCTAATCAGCTGTTGCTGACCTCCACAAGTAGACAGAATGACTAAAGAAAAGCCCTACGCTGAGTCAATGTCCAACAACTGGCTGAGAAGCCAATAAAAACAAATGGCTTTGAGGCAGACATACTGGTTTGGGACATTTCTTTCTCTATCATGTTAAACCAATTTTAAAAGTAACTTTTCCAAAGCATCTTTCTAAATGGCTTCTACTGAAGTCGCAAAAAAGGAAGCACAGATTATTTTTCAGTGCGCGAACAGTGGAACCCTTCTGAGAAGCCTAAAAGATCAGCTTTTAAATGTATTCACAACTTTTCTGCTCTCAACATCAACACTGTTTCAAACACTTGTTCAGCATTCATGACTTTCTCTGCAGGAGTCAAAACTTTATTCAAGTTTCCCCATTCCCCTTGAAAAGGAAGTTAAGGATTAAATTACGGATTACAAATTAGAGTCAACATTCGGGGACTGCAAATCGTCTTTCAGAGATTTCAGGGGAGCACGGTCAATAGTTAGGGAAGTTCTGAGTTGGCCTGGCGAGGAGTGCGCCTGACAGCTGGTGGGATCCGCCCTCCCCTGTCTCCGAGCAACTTCAAGGTTGCAAGCCCTGGGATTTTTTTTTTAAGGCACGGGACAAGCAACCCAAAGTTACTGGGATGAGAGAGTTTGTGGGATCTCCCCGGCTTGTGAACTCTGTCCCAGGGCCACCCCTAGGACTGCGTGACTGGGACAGCAGAGCAAGAAGACCTGCGGGCCCCCGGAGGCCACGGCGCGGGGCAGGGGGGCCCAGGGCTCGCCATGACGCGGACCTGACGCTGCCTGTCCGGGTGGCAGCGGCGAGGGTGGGGGGCGCGCGGCCCCACTCACCTGCGGTTCATGGGCCGGACTCTCACGGCCACCTTGACAGATGCCATAGCTCATCCCGCCCGGACCCGCGCGGGATCGCACCTAACCGGCACCCACAGGCCGCCTAGACGCTGGCGTCCCGGCCGCGGCCCCCGCCCACTTACTACCCTCTGCCCCCGCCCCTCGGCTACCGCCAGACCTGGCGTCGCGCGGCGGCCCCACCTGCGGGGATACTGAGCATGCGCAGATCGGCTCCGCCCCGTAGTATCTACTTTCCGGGTTTTTGTACTGGCCTGGCGGGCGGAGAGGAGAGGCCGGGGGGGCAGGGGGCGGAGCCAAGGGGCGGGGCCGAGGGGCCGAGGGCGGGGCCTGGAGCGCCAAAGGGGAGGGACGCCTCCCAAACTGCTAGGTCTGCGGCTCAGCCACTTTGGCTACAGCCCAGGGTCAAGAAGGGCGGCCAACCACGCTAATTGGAGAGAAACTAAATCCATCCTCATTTTCCTAAAAACCGGAGAGGGGAGGATCGCCACATTTGAGGACCAGAGCAAAGTCCTCGGTCTTGGGACTGATTACCAAAAGTGGGATTTTCTACCATTCACAAGGACCTGGCTTTATCCCTACTGTGTGTAATTAGCAGCTCATTGACTTTACAGACGCACAGATGATCACAGTTTGTTAGTTCCGAACTCTACGAGGGCCATCTCCGCTAATTTAAGAAGTTTCAAGCGTGTTACTCAAGTGGGACACAAGAAAACCAAAGGGATACAAATGTTATAAACTCAAGTGGGAAAGTTGTTCCATTGGCTGAAGCCACATCTTCGGGAAGGATCAGCATTCTTGTTAAATCTGCAATTTCGGCTTAATCACAAGGGAGTTAGAGTCCCCTATATAGGTCAGCTCCTACCCTGGCTGCCCAGCTGCAGAATGTAAACTCGCATGCGTTCTTCCACTCCTCCCGGGAATCCACCTGCGAGCCACAGAGCTGAGGTCACATGAACCCCTGGGAGTGGTTTCAGCTCAGTGTTTCTCCTGCCTTTCCCTGGGGCAGCCCAGTCCTAGGCCGTCGCCCTTCCAGGATTTGGCCTGCACCCGGGAAGCCAATGTGGGGCGGAGGCGGGGTCTCGAATGTGCAGTTGGGCACCTCTAGATCTTTGTCTTTTCTAAAGCCTGCAAGCACGTAGCCCCCTCGGACCAAGGGTCATTACTGCACCATCCTCAGAACCCCACGGTCGGTCGCTCTGTTTCCCAGAAACTCTGGGTTACCCGCCTAAGACAGCAATTAACCCGGCGCAGGTTCCACTAATGGGAAGCTGGAAAACACGGAGTGAGCATTTTCGGAGCGGGTGGATAGTTAAGCATGCGCAGAAGCAGCAGGGTGGTTTGAGACGCTGTCAGGGAGCCTTGAGAGTGCTGGGAGGCCCGGAGAGAGGGCGGGGCCCTACTTATATGGGAGCTGCTTAGGGACAAATCTCTCTGGCTTCCCAGTAGCGTGGAGAGGTTTCTATATACCCTAAAAATCTTTGCTGACCGTGTGCTCTGGACAGTCAGACCGAGGTGTTTTTCAAGGAGCGAAACACTTCTGAAGAGGCTCCATCACGTCCTGGGTCAAAGAGTGCCAGGACTCCCTTAGCAGAAAATATTTCTTTTTGGAGAATGAAAAAAGTTTCTGAAAAGGGTTGTGAAAGGCATAGTCGTGTTCTCAAACTTTAATACGCCCACTTTAATGTGCTTAGCAAACTTGATTGCTACTGAAATCACCGGGGGATCTTGTAGACCTGCAGATCCTGATTGTATAGGTCTGGGTGAAGCCTTCTCCTCCTCATGCGCACACGATCTCTCTCTCTCTCTCTCTCTCTCTCTCTCTCTCTCTCTCTCTCTCTCTCTCTCCCTCCCTCCCTCCCTCCTCCCTCCCTCCTCTCTCTCCTCTCTTCTCTCTTCTCTTTCTCTCTCTTTGAAGAGCAAGGGTTAAATGATCTCTAAGAAAATTGTATGGGAGTTTTGAGAGGCTAATAATGGAAACATTCACAGGGTCCTAAAAGTCTAGAAGTCCAGTGGGTAGCAGCATTCAAGGTTCTGCATCATGCACCAATAAATAGCTGGATAATAAATGGTTCCAACTTCAGCTGTTTTTTGTTTTGTTTTGTTTTTTTGCTGAACCGGGGATTGAACTCAGGCCTCTGTACTTGCCAGGGAAGCGCTTATTCCACTGAGACATCTCCCCGGCCCTCTTCAGCTATTTAAAACAAAAACAGTTCATTGTTTCTAACGATTTTTTAGGTTGCTAATTTCGCCTAAGTTGTATGGTTGGGGTTGGGTTCAGCTGGGATGATGAAAAGCTAGTGTTTCTCTCATCTTCAAAAATATCAGATCATATTTCTTCCTAAGAGAATATAGCCAGAGCACAAAAGTCTGTTGATTTTATTGGGGCTTTGCTTTGCTTTGTTCATAATTGAACCCAGGACCTTCCCAGTGAGCTGCAGGCTCATCACCACCCCCATTCTTTTAATTGTTTAAACTTACTTTGAGTCTCCCTAAGTCACAAAATTGCCCAGATTGGGCTGTAACTTGAAGTTCTCCTGCCTCAGCCTCCCAGAATGCTGGAGCTACTGTTGGAATCACATTTGCTTATATCCAGATGACCAAGGAAGTCCCATGTCCAAGTCCAGATTCAGTATGAAAGGGGATACTCATACTGGAAGCACTTGGGTACTTCCAAGAGACACTAAAGTAACAAATCTTACCATAGGGTCCAAGAGCTTATATAAGGAAAAAAAATAACATTAAATTGCCCCTAAATAAAGTATATTAATTTTAGTAAACCTTGAGACTTTGATGTCTCCAGAAATCACTGTTATTTGAGGGTTAAAGTAGAATTGGTCCTGCGCTCTCAAATTGTTATATCACTCTATTTTGCAACTCTTGTTAGTTATTAGATTGCCACTAGAACTCATTTAATATCATCACTGTATGACTCCATAATAAATAGATGTTTCCAACATTTTGTTAGCTGTGTTTCAATGGAATTGATTTTTCTTTTTGTATCATATATTTTATGTATTTTAAAATGGTACTCTGAAACTTGCTTTTACTAAACCAAAGGGATCCATCTCATAAGAAAAAGTTAAATCATAATTTAGAAATTTAATTGAAGCCAGAAGACTTTCTATTTAAAAAATAAATAAGTTGTGATGGAAGAGTAAAACAAGAAGATCCTGAGACCTAGTTAAGAACCAAGTGGTATCAAATAAGAATAGAGCACTAACTCCATCATCAGTAAGGAATGAGCCTAAGTGTATATATTTGTGCATGTATGAATTGGGGGTTTTGTTCTAATGTAATTTACTTTGATTTTCATTCCTAGATTTCTTTCTTTCTTTTTTTTTTGGTGGAACCAGGGATTGAACTCAGGCCCTTGCACTTGTCACGTAAGCACTTATTCTGCTGAACTATCTCCCCGGCTCTTTTTCTTAAATGTTTAGCAATCTCAATATCATGAAAGGCCCTGCATCTTAGCATCTTTGCTTCAAAATGAGATAGCACTGCAAGCGAATGTTTACTCTGTCTCAAAATATTTGCATCATCTGGAAATACTGTGATCAGAAGAAAAATACATCCTCATCAACCTTGGTGTTTACTTTCTAACCTGTAAGGAATAAAACTGATTTACCCTCACAAACACTATTTAAAAAAAAAAAACTTATAAACTGTAGGCAGGCATATTTAATTTAGGACAGGACCTAACTGACATTTCATGAACCCATTCCTATTTCTATATGCTGGAAGCACTGACCACAAGCATCATTCACACTGAACACTTAATATATCCACATTGGATATCTTATACCAAAGGGCTCCAGTTGAATTTAGGAGCTATGCGGTGAGCCAATAAATAAAACCAGTGTTCTCCTGATTTCCAAACAAATGTATGATAGTATCAGAGACAGAACTCACAGATGTCCAAATCTAGCAGTCTTAGTTCTCTAAGTCATAAAGCTTAAAAGTATACTTACAACCTAATACACTAAACATTAAAAATAATTTGAAAAATATATTCAGGAGCCTGCAAGAAAATTTAACCTCTAAAGTAACTGTAAGGTTAATAGCAAAAAGCATACTTAGTAATTTTGGCAAAATGACAGGCAAGAGCTGTGAATGCCAGCATTCTCTTGCAGCAAAATGAATGAAGAAATCATAGCAAATTCAATTTAATAGAAACAATCACCTTAAATCATAGTCATTTTATATACTAAGATGAGAAAGATTGTTTTCAATTACATATAACTGTACCTATGGTCAGAAATTGTTCAGAATTGATGGACTTTATAGAGTCTGTTGCAGCATTTCAACTTCTTATGAGAAACCACATATGGTTGCAATGATAGGGAACAGTCTCATGTGTTCATTAGTGTTGGAAACAGATTTGGCAAAAGGGGTACAATTGGAACAGCCAGAATGGAGGTGCAGAGTGACTTCTGAGACAGAAGAAAGAACTTGAATAAATGTTCAGAGTTGAGAAGGCACATCCAACTCTGGAAATAGTGAGAAAGCCTCTTTATCTGAAGCATTGTATAGGAAGTGTAAAAATACAAATGGGGCCAGGGATGTAGTGCACTGGTAGTGCTCTTATCTGGCATGCACGGGGAGGTAAAGTCAATCTGAAGTATAGATAAATAAGTTGTCTCATTTACTCTCTTCTTGTTGCTGGGACAAATACCTGACACTCAAAATTAAGGGAGGAAAGATTTATTTAGCTCACAATTACTGGAGTTTTCAGTCCATATTCAGCTGGCTCCAAGGCAGAGTGGCACAAGGCAGAGAGCAACCTTCTGTGGCAGCAGGAAAGAGCAGAGAGCAGAGAACAAAGGGAGTGGCAGCAGCTGGGGCAGCTAGCTAGCCTCTCTACCCTTACATTGTAATGCAAATCACCTGCCCCAAGGCAGGTGCAGCATCCACATCCACAATAATCAATCACAAACTCTAGAAGCCACCCCATGAGTGCATGATGCTTTGGGAGGACAACTAGACACAAACCATAACATCTACCTAAAGCATCACAGCTTCAGCATTTTCAGCCTCATGACCTCATGTTAGCTTGACATGAAACTTTTATTATAAATACCTGGAGCATGGGAGAAAGGCATATGTTTAAATCTGAAAAAAAAAATGTATATTGTAGAATATGGTATATTTGGAAAGCATGAAT